TAAAAATATAGAACAAAATACATAAATAATCAATAGTAAAAAAAAAAAAAAACCTTTCACGTTGTCTCTGCTCTTTTCCTTCAATCCGCCATTTTAAGTTCTGAAACACATGACACAACTTGAATAGCCGCACAAACGATCAACCTTCTAATAAATTAAGTGTACTAAGAATGAGACCTACTTTGTAAGACAACGTAAATATTATCATATATTATTATTGAAACGCCTTTAATCAGACGGAATTTTGATATTAGAAATAAATTTTAGAGGCTAGAATATTCCTAAAAAGGAAATGAAATTCAATTGCGACTTTTTTTGTATAGCGATAGATCACACTGAAATTCGAAGCTTTAACATAATTAGGCAAAATTCGGCACTGATTTGGTATAAAGTCTTGATTTTTTTTTTTCTCGGATTTGCAAGTTTTTATAGACAATGAGCTGTTAAAATCCGGAATCGTTAGTGATCGTGTTCTCATTTAGTTTAAGACTATCTTTATTTGTCAGAATGAATACCAAAATAATGGTAAACTCTAAATTCTCTTATCATTATATGAAACATAATACGTTTGATACGCGGCGCAACAAGAAGATACACATAATAGGAAATTCGTACCGACTTACTTAATATTTGTGATGAAATTTTTTCTATTAAGACCTCCAAATATTAAATATGTCAATTATTAGAATTAAGCAAAGATAGAAAGTTATGGGCTATGCAATAAACGCCGCAAATAAACTTTTGGGAGGAGAACAATATTCGATGATTTATATGAATTTCGTATATATCATAGATAGATGGGCTTATTCGAAAAATCCTGGCTGTGGAATGATCCTAAGCCTCACGGAAGGATAACACAAGTCAATGGCGAAGTCTGCTAGTACACACGTAAGTACCTAACGGTAATACAAGATCTAAATCAAGTGCGTCCAATCATAACTATCCTCATTTTTGTTTATTAAACTTTATTACTGTTCCGCAGTCGCAAACAAACATTACTGTCCAATGGTAATTCTCCACATTTCCCTCTTTTTTCATTATGTTTCGATTATCAAGATCCACCAATGAAAATTCAACACATTACAGTTTCAGGAGGTTTCCTAAATTATTCCCCAAATTTGTCTATTCTCATATAGTGCTTTCATTCGTTCAAGATAAAAGCCACAAGCTTTCGCCCTACCTAGGTGCATTTTTTTCAACTTTCTTTCCTCAAAAATTTCTCATTATCCATTAATTAATAATATCCGATATCAATTTTTTTTCTTGTATATATTTTAGAATTTTTAGAACTGGAACCATACTGTATTCATAAGGCGGAAACTCTTTTATAGGTCACCATGTCCTCTACTACTCCATCTACGTCGTCATCAAACGACTATAAATGTTCTGCAAACCATGTTCCTAATACTTGGAGTGAGGACATGGTGACCTCAGACTTAAGAACAGAAACGAGTATTTCACAACTTTTAGAAAATTCTCCTCTTCTTTATACTCCTACTTTATCGTCTACTGTTACTTCCCCTGATTTAAGGGATACTTTAGAGGCAGATGATGAGGAGGGTCGTATACCGCAAACTGGTATTTTCACGTTACAAGATTTAATTAACATAGAGGAGTTGCGAAAACTCGCGGCAAGCAACGATTGCATGTTCACCAGAACGTCAAATAACTCCACAACTCTACCAAATTTGGCCCCTTCAATAACGTCAATGAAGCCGATCGCTCCTGCCCTATTTAGTCCTATTTCCGCCATATCTTCCTCTCCTACTTCTGAAGCTGATCCTTCTGAACGACAATCTTCAACTAATACAGTATCAACTGAAGAAAAAAAGAAGTCAGCTGGTGGTCGTAAGAGAAAAGCTGAAAGTCTTGAAGAAAAAGAGCAGAGACAACGTGAAAGGTTTTTTTTTTTTTTTACTATTGATTATTTATGTATTTTGTTCTATATTTTTA